ACGGCGGCACCACAGGCTCCAAGTCTGGTCCAGAAAGGGGCAATTCCAAAGACGGCACCATCAGCAAGTACGATTGGCTCCCGGCCACCGCCACCTAAGGTTCCACCAAAGCCGCCTAGAAGGCCCTTGGAGTCGTTTCCGGTGGAGAGCAGCAGTCCAGGATATCCTCTGGATGGCGAACGAGGGCGACGCAACGAGCCTCGAAATTGGCACTTCGAGGACCGCAGGGCTTCCGATTTCCGCGAGGAGCCGCGTTTATATGCCAATACAGGGCTAGGTGGCGGCAGCCAACAGGTTCGCATCGAGCGGTGGGGCGTTTCTTTTGATAGCGAGGACGAGCGAAACTCGGTGGAGGATTTCCTGTTTCGGCTCGAGTTCCTGCAGCGGCAGTACCAGTGCCCTTGGCAGGAAGTGCTCCGCCATTTCCATGTGCTGCTAACAGGACGGGCACGCGAGTGGTATTGGGTCCACGTGCGTCACTGCAGGGTGGAGAGATGGCCACAGCTGCGCGCCGCGCTGATGGACAGGTTCCGAGGCCACCAGACGGAGCACGACCGGATGCATCAGCTTCTGCAGAGGGAGCAGCAGCCGGGAGAAGCCGAGGAGGCTTCTCGCCTAAAAAAACCACTGTTAGAGCGACAGATGGTAAAAATAATTAAAGGGTATCGCAAGATTCGTTTACGCAATGGATGTGATGACTGTGGACGAGTTGAGGGAAGAGTGCAGCGAGGTGGAGCGTAATTTTGGACGACGAGGACGCGCGGCCTATGCGCACCCGATGCGTTATCCTCCGGCAGAGAAGGCCAGGGTTAGCGAGGCAGCTGGTCCAGATACTGCAGAGGATTCTCAGTGGCAAGTGGAGGCGTTACAAGCGAAGGCCCGAAATCCGTTCCGAGCGGGCTGCTGGAATTGCGGAGCCGTAGACCACGGGTTCCGTGACTGTGCGGCAACAGAACGGCGCTTGTTCTGCTACCGATGCGGAAGGCCAGACACCGTGTCTCCGATATGTCCGGGTTGCGCGGAAAACGGTCGGCTGGGCGATCCGAGGGCGGGAAGGATGCGTCCAGACAAGAGTCCCGCGAAGAAGTAATTGATCTAGGACTAAAAAAAGGTTCAGTATGTACGAGTAGTAATAAGAACAATTTAAAATACTTACCTTATGAGGAAAGGATGCGCAGGTACTTGGAGGCCAGGAATCGGATTTTCTCCAACCATCAATTGAGCGGGTTGGTGTCTCGGAAAGTCCAGAAGGCCAGGGATCGATTCCGGAAGAGACGAGCGAGGAGGCGAGAAGTGGTTGCCGCTGTGAAGCGCAGTGGAACGGGAGACCCTTGACCATTCGCTGAAGTCCGGATCCTGACCCAACAGCTGACTTTATTATTGGACACGGGAGCTAGTGTCAGCCTGCTGGGCAAAGGTGGAAGAGAGCTCGTCGAGGCGATGGATGTGCCAATCCAGAAGTACCTATCCGTGGTCCGAACGGCGTCTGGAGAGGACCGCTCGATTATAGGACGCGTCGAGCTACCTGTGGAGTACAGAGGACAGATAAAGCGGATCCTGTTCTATGTATGTCCATACCTGGAGCAGGAAGCCTATTTCGGAGTGGACTTCTGGCAGGCGTTTGACTTGGCTCCAGCGGTGATAGGCCCCAGCGACCCGGAAAGCGTCAAGGCAGACGAAATCCACGCTAGGGATATGGAGCACTACGCCGAACAGGAAGATGACGACGAGGAGAAACCGGATCCCGAATCTAGGACCTTATCCGAGGCCGACGCACGACAGCTCGCGGAGATCCAGGAGGTGTTTCTCACATTCGAGAAGGATGGTCTGGGAACGACCAATTTGGAAAGGCACACAATCCAGCTAATTGAGGGAGCCAAGTTCTTCAAGGATCGGCCGTATCCCGTGTCTCCAGCCAAGCAGAAGGTAGTCGAGGATGAGGTGGACAAGATGCTGGCGCTCGGAGTCATCGAGGAGAGCATGAGCCCGTGGAGCAACCGGACGACGGTAGTGTCGAGGCCTGGGAAAGATCGGTTCTGCTTAGACGCGCGCAAATTGAACGATTTGACCATTAAAGACTCTTAACCGCTGCCGAGTATCGACGGAATCCTGTCCAGAATCAGAACCAAACATTTTACATTTCCAGCGTGTATTTGAAGTTCGCATTCTGGCAGATCGAGTTGGACCCGAAAAGCAAGGAACTGACGGCCTTTACGGTTCCTGGTCGGCCTCTCTACCAGTTCCGGGTGATGCCCTTCGGACTTCGCAACGCGGCGCAGCGGTTGGTGAGACTCATGGACCGAGTGATCCCAGCTGAGATCCGTTCCAACGTATTTGTTTACCTAGATGATCTGCTGATACTGGCTCCAGATATCCGGACCCATTTCAGGTACCTTCGGAGAGTCGCAGAATGCCTGAAAGCAGCGGGGTTAACGATAGGTATGAGTAAGTCAAAGTTTTGCTTCAAATCATTGACCTACTTGGGCTTTATCGTTGGTGGAGGTCGTCTGCGAATGGATCCAGGACGAATGGCAGCGATCAGGAGGATGCCAGAGCCTAGGACGATGAAGGAGGTGAGAGCGTTTCTTGGGACTGCTGGATGGTACCGCCGGTTCATAAAGAACTTTGCGACGTTGGCCGCCCCGCTCACTGAATCGCTAAAGAAAACTGGAAACTCACAGTTTTCATTGAGTCCAGAGGCTCAGCTTGCGGTAGAAGCTTTGAAGATGGCGTTAACAACTGCACCAGTCCTATTGCATGCGGACTTCAAGAGACGCTTCTTTATCCAGTGCGATGCGTCACACGTCGGAGTCGGCTCGGTGCTTTTCCAGCGAGACGACGACGGACAAGAGCAGCCAATTGCCTTTTTCTCGGCCAAGATGAATAAACATCAGGTAAATTACACCGTGACCGAGAAAGAGTGTCTCGCTGCGCTCATGGCCATTCGAAAGTTCCGGCCATATGTCGAAGGGATGCCATTCACCTGCATCACAGATCATGCCAGCTTGAAGTGGCTCATGTCCATGAAGGATCTGTCGGGACGTTTGGCGAGGTGGTCGCTGCAGCTTCAAGGGTTCCACTTCAACATCGAGCACCGAAAAGGAAGTGAGAACGTTGTGGCAGACACCCTTTCACGGTGTGTGGAGGAGCTCGTAGTGAATCCGACAGATGTCCTCATCTTCAAGAGAGTCTCTTCGGCAAATCTGGACGATGAGGTGGAAGGTTCCGAGTGGAAACTGTGGATCCCACAGAGTCTGACCCACAGCCTAATCGAGCGTGCGCATACGGACCCAACAGCAGCTCATGGCGGAATGGGAAAGACTCTGGAAATCCTCCGACGGCAGTTCTACTGGCCAGGCATGGTTCTCCAAGTCCGCGAGTTTGTGCGTGGATGTGATGTCTCCAAGGAGTCCAAGGCGCCAGGCATTCCAGAAGCTGTATATCGACTTCTTGGGAAAATATCCGAGGTCAAAGAAGGGTCATGCCTGGATTTTTATCGTGGTGGACCATTTCTCCAAATTTGTATTCCTGAAGGCCATGAGGGAAGCTACATCTTCGAACGTCGTCGATTTTCTCATCCACGAGGTATTTTACAAATTTGGCGTCCCGGAGGTAATACACTCAGACAATGGTCGGCAGTTCACGTCGAAGATCTTCCAGGATGCGATGGAGAGTTTCGGTATCTCACACCTAAAGACTCCGGTATACTCCGCACAGAGCAACGCAGCAGAACGAGTAAATCGATGTGTGTGATGTACAGTGTTCGGACATCATATGTTCCTGAACGGCGCCAACTATAGGTTAGCGAGGAAGCTAAAGTCCTTGTGTGACCACGAGATGGCGGGCATGAAGACGGCGGACAAACTCCGAGTTATCCAGGAAAAGGTCCGAAAGAAGCTGGAGACAGCCTATGACCGAAGCCGCAAGCAATATGACCAACGGGCTCGGAACTTCATGGCCAAGCCAGGTCAGGAGGTATACCGCCGTAACTTCGTCCTCAGTGATTTTGGAAAGTCGTTTAATGCCAAGTTCGCCAGGAAATTCCTTAGGGCTCGAGTGGTGAAAGCCGTTGGTAACAATGCCTACGAGTTGGAAGACCTGCAAGGACGCCACCTCGGAGTTTACCACGCCAAAGATATCCGGATGTAATCTGAAAAAAAAGGGTAGCACAAAGTAAAGGAGTGCAAGAAAAACAAAGGCAGTACTTCCCGGCATGCGTGGGCCCCGCGTTGAGCACCGTATGGAACTGCAAGCTGCGTAAATGTCCAGGTTCCACTAGGAAAGGATCCAAATGCTCCCAATGATTTCGTCGAGTGGCTTGAAATCCGATGGCGTCTCTCTAAATCCTTGGGTGGTGTTGCATTTCAAGTTGGAACCGGCCGGGAGTAGATCGAAATCGAGGGCAAAGGCCTATCGATAAAAGTTGGTGGGTGGCAACGCCTACTGAAGTGGCGCTATTTAAACTAGCCTGGTTCGCTCTGGGTATGGCTAGGATGGCCTTGGATTCGTCCAATGACCCACTTTTGGGAGAGGAAAAGGGAACATGGCGTGATGAGCATGACATTGCGTAGGTCAGGGATAGGGTTTAGTTGCTGCCAGACATCGAAGCCTTGTCGACGGGATTTTGATATTTCTTAGCTTAGAATAGGCCAAGAAAAAGTTAGAAAATTAAGTGGAAATTTATTTATTTTAGGTCCACAGGGGACCCTAGTACATAGGGCCCCGGCAGTTTTCTGTGATTTTCTTCGGTTTTTTCACAATTTTCTCGGAGGAAGGGCAGCAGCCCTCGTGATAGTGCTCAGTAGCAACAGCCACCGGCAGCAGCAACAGCCGCCGGCAGCAGCGACAGCCGCAGGCAGCAGCGACAGCCGCAGGCAGCAGCGACAGCCGCAGGCAGCAGCGACAGCCGCAGGCAGCAGCCACAGCCACAGCCATCACCACCAACCTACACCGCCGCAGGCAGTTGCCCTTAACTACAAGAATTCTACATTACCTCGGTGAATTCTTTTTTGGGGACGTAGAACCCGAGCAGCACAACGTCTCGAACACGACGCGACTCCCATACCACGCAGCATCTCCGACGTCACGGTCTGCAGTGGCCAAGGCAGGGCGTAATACCGGTTACCGGACCGCCCTTTTTAAGGATCCCAAGTCGTCCTTCGGCGACCCGCTGCCGGCTTACTCGCCGCGCCTGTGATTAGATTTTAAGATTAATTTTTGTATTTGTAAATTTGTGTACTCGCCTCGTCCGTTTCTGCACGTCTTCGTGATTCCGCGAGCTTGAGTCTGGCCTTGTGCTAACTCGGGGTCTGAAATTGCGAAAGCGGGCTTAGCAGAACTCAATACAATTTATTTATTTATATTTACCTGTCCCTCTTGTGTCCTCTTGGAGCTCCAGCAGGGTAATTAGGAGAGAAAAGAGGTGTTTGATTAATGACAGCTACTTGGCTTAAAATTTTCTGCGGGGCCAAATTTCCGATTTTAAGAAGGCCTTGCAGCTGGTGCAGTCCAGGCCGGGTAGTGGTTTTGCCCTGACCTGTAATGGTATAAAGAGGAGAGGATATACTTAACGTTTATATTTGGCAATCTTATGTATATATTTATAAATAAATGTACTTAGAATGGAGATGAAGATGATGTGGGCCTAAGGCAATTACCAGCGGGGAGATGAACCGGTCGTAGTCTGGCCTGGCAGTGGCTCCGGCCTTGGAACATATTTGTAGTGTGAGACGTCGATAGTAATCGATATTTAATGTTTTGGGGCTGTAGGGACATTGGGGGAACTCCGCCCTGAGGATTCCGGAGCTAGCCGGGGCCGTCCCAGGGAGAACAATATGCAGTTCCATAACAAAAGTATATCCCGACCTAAAACATCGATTTCAATCTGGTGGTTACGAAATTATTGAAAATGTTTCTAAGAAACTACTTGACTACTTATTCAAAAAATTTGCTGAAATGTGGAATAAATGCCATAGAATAAAAGCAAAGGTTATTCAACTAAATTCTGACTGGTTAGCACAATTTGTTTCTATATGCTTAAGTCAATTATGGTTTTTAAAATTTTTTTTTTATTTTATTTATCTTATTGGGTCTATATAGCAGTACAAAAATTTTCAGCTCAATATCCCAACTGGAAGTATTTTTGGCCGCCTCTGCCATACTAGATAGACCAGTGTGCATCGGTGGGTTGTATTAAATCAATTTTCATTTTCATTCAGATCTTTAAATTCACATTTAAATTTCGTTCGCCTCGCGAGTAAACTTTGAATCTTTGTGCAAATAATAATAATAATCAATGATTGTTTTAATTTCGTAATTTTGTTCTGTGTTTTCTTTTCTTGTAACCCCGTCGTTTCTCTTTTGTGCGTTGATCGTCGTAAGTCGTAGTGCTGTTTTTAGTGTTTCTTTTGCATGCACTGTAACTAAATTACGCTCCCGCTCTCTCGCTCTCTTTGTTTTGAAAGCTCTAAGCGTGCAGTTTCTGCGCTCTTGCGGTACTAATAACTGCTCGCTTATAAATTTTAATTCGTTTTCTTGGTACAGTGGTTTCAATAGGTAAAATGAGTAACAATAATTTAGTCAGCTTCTGCAAAAAATGCAGCCTCGTAATCAGGGCTGACCAATCTAAAATGACTTGCTGTTTGTGTGAAAACATGGTGCACACCATGGCCGGTTTTACTGGCCGGACAAGTGATGACCTTTCAAAAGGGCCTAAATTGCAATTCTGTTGTGATGCTTGTGTTGAGGTTGCGAACGAAATGAAATCGTTCATGCGCCAAACTAAAGGCCGCCTGATGGGGCTGATTAGCTTTTTCAGAGTTTCTAGAGATAGTTTTCGCCGAGCTGATGATCTCCTCTCTGCGCTGGATTCGCAGTTTAATAGTCGTAATCTATTAGAAGAGTCCCCTAAGCGCAAAAGGGCAGCTGGTGGGAAGCAGAAAAAGGGGAACACCCCGCAACCGAAAGCAAAAGAACAACAGAGCATTCCGGCGGATCAGACGCTGACTGCAGCCAATCCTCAAATGTTGCTAGGATCAGCAGCTAAAAAAGATTCATTATCCGAACAATGCGTCACAGAATGCATGTAACCAGGGACTTCTAAGAATTCCGATTTTTCCGTAGTGGTTTCACAATTAGTGGATCCACCTATCTCTCAAAATGTAGCTTCACCACCACAAAGGACTTCTGAGTCCGGACAACCGGCTCAAGTTGGTTTTGGAGAAACAATTTCTGCTTCACCAAAATCCCTTTCAGTGGTTCCACTAAAGAAACAAATTTTCGTTTCTTGACTTTCCCCTGATCAAACATCTTTTGATGTATTGTCTATTTCAAAAAACTAACTTCTAACCCCCTTCTTTCCTATCAGAATGCAAGATGCTTAAGCCTGCAGCAGAGGACAAAGAGGCACAACGAGGAGCCAAAAATCGACGTGGGAAGAATGGTTGTCGTCGACGAGAACAACCTTCCACGCCAGCAGTGAAGGATCGGGCGAGTGGTAGCGGTCCACGCCGGCGCCAATGAGAAGGTTCGGGTGGTGGACGTGCGGGCGCAGGAAGATGTATACCGGCGAGCTGTCCATCGGCTGGCCCCTTGCCTGTGTTTGCTGAAGGATGTTGTTCCTTCAGGGGGGGCGGTATTTGCGCATTTGGCGCGTTAATTTAAATTTTCTAGTTGTAAAACAAGAACGGGAGGCTCCAATAAAGCTTTTATTTGCTCTTGGGAATTCGCCCCGTCTATCGCCAATAGCTAGGCATAGGTCTAAGAGAAGTAATGAGAAATTAAAAGGTCACTGTTAAATCGAAGCTGATTATCACCGCACTCCCTTTCGTCGTCACTATTTCGATGAGTAAATCACTATTACAAATCAAGTTCGCGTTTCTTTTTTGGTTAATACAAAACAGTGTTAAATTTTCAATAATTCTCATAGAATATACATCACTAAAGTAGTATAAATATATTAAATCCATTTTCCGAATGTCGTAAAACCTGTGTGTTCCCCATCGGACGTTTATATCCTATAGCTCCCATAGGAACAATCGGATATACCTCGCAAAAATTGAAGATATTTCGCGCAGTGTAAGGGCTATTGACATAAATCTTTCCAAATCTTTTTTTTATGCATACCTTGATCAGGGTAAAAGCGCGTGCCGATCGAACCTATAGCTCCCATATGACCAATAGGGTGGTCAAAAACTGATTTTTTCAGGATTTTTCGCGCAGTATATAAGCTATTGACATGAATCATTCCAAATCTTTTTTTTTTATGCTTACCTTTATCAGGGTAAAAGTACCGATCAGACGTCTATATCCTATAGCTCCCATAGGAACAATAGGGGGAAATCGGTTAAAATCTGATGTTTTTCAGGATATTTCGTGCAGTATAATGACATGAATCTTTCAAAATAGTATTTTTTTATGCATACCTTTATCAGGGCTTGATACGGGCTTGCCGATCTGGACGTCTATATCTTAAAGATTCATTAGAAAAAAAATGTTAAAAGCTCCTATTTTTCTTGTTTGATATTTCGGCGATTCGATTTTCACAATCCTCCCTTGAACTCAATTTTTGTCCATCAAAAAATTTTGCATGGCCAAAAACAGATGGTAATCGCTTGGGGCAATGTCCGAACTATAAGGTGGATGCATTAATAATATTCCCGTCCTTAGTTGATATAAGCATGTCCGGCTGTCCGTCTGTCTGTCTGTTTTTACCAGAACTAGTCTCTCAGTTTTAAAGATATAGAATTGAAACTTTGCACACACCCTTCGTTCCTTTGCACGCAGTATATAAGTCGGAACGGCCGGGTTCGCCGACTACATCCTATAGCCGCCATATAACTGATTGATCGGAAATGCCAAAACTTTGGTGTTTGTAAAGTAAGGAAATTGGGATCTTTATGGGTTTTATTTTTGACTAATAAATCCGACCTACCAAATTTCATAAGGATCGGCCGACTATATAATACAGCTGCCATATAACTAAACGATTGGAATTGCCATAACTTTGGTGTTTTTAATGTTAGGAATCTTGGGGTTTTTTATGAGTATTAAGAATGCATCATATGAATAATTTTGGAGAATATAATTTACAGAATAATCTGTAAGAGTATATCAACTTTGACTCTGCCTGAAGTTAGCTTTCTTTTCTTGTTGTATATATAATTACACAAAATTTTATTTGTTATATCCTTGCAGAGGGTATTATAAATTTGGTCAGAAGTTTGTACCGCAGTGAAGGAGACGTTTCCAACCCCATAAAGTATATATATTCATGATCGGGATCAATAGGGGAGTCGATATAGCCATGTCCGTCTGTCCGTCTGTTTCAATACCGTTTAAAAGTTAGCGATCTGTTGCGGTGAACTACATGAATGGTTCCGTGAAAGTAGATGGAGTTACTTACAGCGATCAAATGGTGGAACAGAAGGAAGAGAGGGTAAAATTAACAACAACCATGGAAAAATAGGTAACCATTAACAGTACCAAAGTGGACCTGAACTTAGAGACCCTTCACTTCGAAAATATAAGACACATCAATAACGTAAAATTTTTGCCATATATGGAATATTGTTATTATTTTCTGCTCTGGAAATACCACATATGTGGCCATCGCTACATTCTCCATGGAAGGTGTTACTGTACTGGTACCACCGCCTAAACCTTGCCATGCTAACTCGTATCTGGATGATGACCGGCAACTTTTGACTGCCAAAAGAGAAGGATTTTTTATTTGAGATTTACAAATTAACAAGAAACTTAAAAACTACCACGGGAAATACCACAATTAGAACAAATAAATAACTCAGGCGGGTTCTGCTGGAAACCAAAGCCATTCGATGTGTCTATGCCAGGCTAATCGCCTGTTGAGGTGGACGCCGAGGTACGTTTACTTTGTTGACTTGGAGGATCTGGGTACCGTTCAAAGAAAGCGGAGGGCATGCTTGTTTATTAAGAGTAAACGTAAAGTGTTTACAATTCAGCTCATTTAGTTTGATAAAGCTAGATGATCAGTTGGCTTGTTGCTCAGATTGGACATTGTTCGTATCACGTTCGTAGGGATGTTAGCAGTATATAGGACAAATGGGGTAGGGCCAAGTGCGCTTTCTTGTGAAACTCCAGCTTCATCTCACCTAAAAAACCCTTCGTCGTTTACTGCGAGGATGCCAAGGTCGTTTAAGTGTAGCTTCATGCATTCGGTGTATCTACGTCAGGTTAATCGCCTGTCGAGGTGGATGCCGAGGTAGCCACCATGCTCTGATGTGGCGTTGTGTCTGTTAGAATCTCGTTCGTAGGGATATTCGTAGTATATAGGACAAACAGGGTAGGGTCAAGTGCGCTTCATTGAGAACTCCAGCTTCAATCATGTATTCGTCCGATGTTGTTGTTCTGCATCTCACTGAAAATACTTTATTGAAGAGATAAGACTCGGGGATCCACAAGGGGTGTAGATCGGTAAATGCATTTTGATTTTTTGCATGAGACCAGACTCTGTCGAAGGCTTGTGGAATATAGCGCTACAATATTCTGTCAATCAAACAATTTCTGATGTTATTCTGTTAACTTGCACGATGGTTCAATGATTTCTTCGGAAGCCAAACTGGTGTGCCAAGATAACATTGTTTGCTTCAAGAAATGGTATAATCCGCGTTAGAAGAAATTTTTCAAATATTTTAAACAAACAAGACAGTAGGTTTGGCTTATTGGTCTGCACGATG